GTTTGCAATTTTTTTCTAACTACATTTGCTTTCCTTTTTTCAGTGATTCTCACCTGTCGATTCCAAGGACTTCTTCCTTTCTGGGGTTCTTAGGTTCCCCTCGTAGTCTATTCATCCAGGGACTTCTTCTTTTTCGGTTTCTTAGGTTCCACTCATAATCCGTTCATCCCTTTCTGGTTTTTATATTGCATAGTCATTTTTTTCTTCTCTGTTTTCTTTCTCTCCCCTTTACCTATTTTTCCCCACCGTTTTTGGAATGTTGCTCCTCATTCCCTTCACCCGGTTTCTCGCGATTTTTCATGCGGCTAGCTATTCTAAGCTAAGCCTTTATCGGTCGTTTCGTTCGTCAGAAAGAATCCGGATTCTAGATTATCCGATCGATACGCGTTCCATAACGATCTTTATCGAACGAGTTTATTTTGACGACCAGAGCGACCCCCCATCTCCTCAAGCCAGCCCGTCCACGTGGTCTCGTCGTCGCTTCACCCAGCTTTAGGGCCACCATCTAAATCGGACCTCCGCGCCTGATGTCTTGGTCATGATGTCGTTATTACTGGCACTGGCTGAAGGTCTGATTGAGTACATAAAGCGGATATTGGTTAGTTTTTACTGATAGCCAGGCAAAAAACGTTTTTATCGATTAGTGCAACGTTGCACGATTTTTTTTCGGATAGATATTACCACTTTGATAAAAGCCGCCATTTTACATTTCATAGGCCCTTTTCTTTCAGAAACCAGCTACTAGAATGAAAAACATTCATAAGGAATTCTGTACTAAACCGTACAGCAATCTGATTATCGTGCTAAAACGTGCTATTCAGGCTGCACATGTCTCGAATGCGATACTGGCCGCTACGCAACCGTTCTATCCGGCACCAGTACAGGATGCACAACCGGATCGACCTATTGGTTACGGTGCCTTCGGTGTTGTTTGGTTAGTTTGTTCTCTCGTTTTATAAAAATCGTGCGCGTCAAATCCGAATCATTAGCGTTTTTGCCCCTTTTGTCGATGTTCGCCGGTTGTTATCGATGATCATGTGATTTGGGCGAAACTCGTCCAAGACTGGACCGACCGGCCGCTACAGTAACGGCCGCCGCGATTCTTCTGTTGCTAGAGGAATGCGGGCTAGTGATGCAAGGGAATGTGAAAGTTCTGAGCCTGGCTAGGGAAGGGGTGGTTAATGAACAGGGCATGTCCTGGCGCTGGAGGGCATTGCTGCTAAATATGATCCACCCCCTCATTCTCTTCTCGAAATACGACCCCTTCCACAAAGTCGATCCCCTTGATTCGATTTTACTAAGCTTTCCTGAAAAGTTGTC